ACCATGCGTGAAGAGATACCTTCTTCAAGAAGTTTCACAATCCACTCTTTTGTTTCATTTCTCTTGTTGGAGCCATGGTTCTTGCCACTCCACTTCGTCCAGCAGCCCTTCAAGATGTCATGGCTGCAGGTGTTTTTAACTGCAGACTAACGAGCAGATCTAATCTGAGACATGTGCCCATTTATATATATAATTTTTTAAAAGAAAATCCTCAGTTTCTCAGATCCAATATCTTGTGAGGATCTGTTTGTTTTCATCTTTGAATTGTTTATTTCCAGTGTTCTTCCCCAGGTGTTTCTAATTACATTCCCGTTAACTCACCTTCATGTTCCTTTACCTGCTTTCACTCCCCTGTCAGTTCATTGTGTCGGTTCATATGTCCTCACGTCAGTTTGGGTTTGTTCTCCGAGTTCCTCTGTGTTTTCTGTAAGTAAATTTCTGGCTGCCTTGTCAGCATTTATTACCTCCGCCAAGGAGGTTATGTTTTCAGTCACGTATGTTTGTCTGTTGACAAAATTACTCAACAACTTAAGGATGGATTTTCATGAAATTTGTACCACAGGTGGGTATTGGCCAAAGGAACACACCTTTAAATTTTGGTGATGGTCCGGTTCATGATCCAGATCCAGGAATTTTTTGAAGGATTCTTCACTGTTGCAGGCTTGTGGAAATAGCCTTGGCGGAGGTTTGCGCTCTCCGAGTGCTTCTGGTTGTAAATAAGTCTTTTTTGTTTTTTAAACTTGAGTTTTGCCTGCTTGAATGTCCACGTTTATAGAGAATTTTTTTTATGTGTCTGATCCTTTTCTCTGCCTTGCTGTGTTAAAATACGTTTTTTTCTTGGTGGATTTAATAGAAATATCACAGTGTACGACTGAAAGTTGGATCAAGGAAGTGGCTAACTACTGTGATCCAATCAGTCTGTTTTGCTCTGTTCTGTCAGACATTCCTTGCACGTATTTGCACATAAATTAGACAGAAAAACTGCTGAAATTAGCCTCTCGTAACATGATTGCAAACGTCATTCTTAATTTTCAGGTTAGTTTGGGCCGAAGCTACAGAGCAACCTGCCTTAATGTGACTTAAAAAGGTCAACACTAATGAGAAAACTAATGGTAGATTAAAAAATATGATTTCTTGTTATGTAAGGTGAATTTATGCAGTGGAAGAGTTTGCCTTGCAAAAATGTATTTTTGCTGAAGATCACAACTGAATAATATTTATATCTTTTTATTTTTACAGCAAACTCTGTATTTTTGCACACCTTTATAATAAACCCTGCAGAAGTCCCTTCATGTGCATCTGTGTCCTTTGACTATTTGTTGTACGATACAGCACAGTCTCATTCATCACTGCCAACTTAGCTGTTCTGCACGCTAACTCCACTTTCACACCTGCATTAAGTTTGGGCTTATTACGTCATCATGCTTTATTTATTTTAATGATAATCTGACCAGTTTTTTTTTCTTCTTTGATTCTACATGTATGTGGATGTTGTAGAAATTATTATTTCATTATTCCATGAACATTTTTTTTTTGAGAAACAAACGAAGGCTGGTTGTCTGGTAGATGTTTTTATCTATTTTTCACTAATTTGAAACACTTGTGTCTTTCTGTCTAGTTTACATACTAACAGATTCGTCCGCCTGTCAGCTCAGCCAGCCGCGGGACTTCTGCTGCATCAGCACCGAGTCTAAACAGGTAAGAACAGCTGCAGCATCAACCAGATCGGATGATTACAGCTGGTCTCCCTTGTGTTCAGGTCAGGAGAGCGTTTGTAGTGGCTGCATGCTTCGCTTCAAGGGAGAAAATTCCATTCGCTCAGGTTAGAGAGGAGTGCAAACAGCAGATTAACAGCGTGTTGTGGAGTTTCTTGCCCACAAAATGTAGAACACACTTTTTAGATGCTGTGTGTGTGTGTGTGTGTGTGTGTGTGTGTGTGTGTGTGTGTGTGTGTGTGTGCTTGTTTTGGTTACAGAGTGAGAACCATGTTAGGTTTTTAAT